ACATAAATAAAATAAAACATGGAGCAGAGTCATTTTCAGCTCTTTCCAGTTAATGACTGATAAAGCAGGTTTTCTCTGTGTTTGTGTACAGATTTGTGACAACTTTAATTGTATGGGTGATTATGATGTCTCTTCAATCTTGACACCACATGAAGGCATTACTTTTTACAACATAAATAATCATGCTAGTAATAACTAAATTTGTAGACTGTACAATGTAAGCCAGACTGGTCCTCAGAAAACCTGTTCTTCAAGTCCATGAATTGGGAAGTGTTGAGAACCACCAACTTGGAAGACCAAGAATGAGATGAGGATAATATTAAACTAGATCTGAGGTAAATGGATGGAAAATGTCAACTGGTTTGTCATGGCTCAGAATTATGTCAAGTGACAGGCTTTGTAGTTGGTAGTATTAAACCTTCTGACTGTGTTACTACAGTTAACTGGTTGGTATATTTAATGACCCCTTATTAACTGCATATTTTACAAAGTTTCAAAATGGCAGGATAATTTTTAATACCAAATAAGAGTGTAGAAGCCCATTTTAAAGTAAAATTTATCATCTGATTGGAGGAAATGAGGAAAACCATGAACATGGCCTACCCATCTCCTGTCAAAGATTCAGACCTGGGGCCTCCTGAATACAATGGATGCCTTCTAACCGTCACTGAGCTACAGCTGGTGATGTGTAGATAAGTAACTGAGTTGATTGAAAGTGTACAGTGAGAAACTGAGTATTTACCAGTGAATTTATGTGTAAAGTGTAAGGTATAAATTACCTGTTTGCCATCAGAACATGTATAAAATGTAAACATAAAGGTATACTTATTTCACAATACAGGATTACATGGTTACAGGTTATCAGCCTCATGCCTTGGCCACTTTACCCAAGGGAAAGGTTGATTACCATAAAGTCACTAAATTATTCTCTCATAACTCTTGTTAGCTTCTCTATATAAATTTGAAGGAAAATAGGCATAACAAGTTGTTCCCTGAACTTCTGGATTTCTTCACTTTAATTCATATCAAATACATTAATATTTTGTATGTCTATTTTTGCCATATAATTTTTCATGATAAAAATCAATGTAAAAGTCCTTGATATATTCAGGGAAAAAATTCCATCCACAGGTGAACTGTTCCATCAGTAACAGTGAAAGGGACAATATATTCTTTTGTGTGTTTCAGGTTTTGTTACAGAGTTGTGACATCTTTCAGGACCGAAATGCAATCTCTTTCCTTCGTGTATTTTACACATTTGTTTTATCTGTAAGGCGATGGTTAAAGAATAAAGACAGTGAAGTGAAAATGTGCCATGAGATTAATGGGAAAGAAACAGAAAAATTGGAATTTGTTCCAAAAATTATGAAAACTTCACAGACTACTGTTGATGAAATCATTAATTATCACTCTTGTAAAAGACAGTCAGAAAATTTCAAGAATAATGTTGAAGTTGATGTTGAAGACACTGATAGTGGAGCATATAATGAAAGTGATGAAAAAAACTGTGATGGAGAGAAGAAGTTGCCACTGTTTGTGGAAATGACAGTTTCTGTACTTAAGAGATGTATACATTTCCTGCCAAGCAAAAATAGGGAACAAAAGCTGCTTGTGCTAGCCATATTACAAGAAGGCTTGCTGATCTTGGAGGCATGGGAGAATGAATTATTGCCAATAGTACATGCAATCTGGTCACCATTTGTCAATAGATTTGCTGAGACAACTGACCATCTTTTGGTGAACCGTAGCTTTGGTCTCCTTTGTGTACTTGCACAGACAGCTAAAGATTTCATACGTTCACGCACATTGAAGTAAGTGGAAAATTTCATAAAGTAATTTATTGTTTATTAATTTGTTTTATAATGCTGTATCAGTTGCTCACGTTATGTAGCAATGAAGAATATGCAAGTTTATAATCATATGAACTCTTTCCTTAAAAAATCCGAATGCACAAACCCCCTTAGCATTCTCTTCTTGATACCATATTTCATAGAATTTAAGACACCATTGATTGTAAGATGCAGCCTTGATTTATAATAGGTTTTTAGGGGGAAAAACTTAATTACAATAGGAATTGTTAATTTTCAAATTAGTCCCGGGCATGATGTTAAACTGCGTCCACAGACCGAGTGACCACCAGTATAAGTGGTCCCTCTCTACCAAGTACCAACAGCCTCTTTGGAGGGTGGAGGTTCAGGGCACCCTCATGCCCTTGGGGTGAGAAATCACCCCTAAAGGTGGATGAACACGGATGGGTCAACGGCATAGGATGCGGAAGGCAAGGGGAATCCACCGCATTAAAGATCCTCAGGATTTCCCAAGTATCAGCAGCTCAAGCTGCTGCCAACCAATCCTAGGATTGGTTACAAAAGAAGAAGAAGAATTTTCAAATATGAAACTTCTCTGTATTAATACTTTGGAATTTGTTTGTTATTGCTATCTTTGTGTTTGTGTCCCGTGACTACTGTTATGGGCATGAAAACTTTCCTTGTGCCTTAGTCATAAAATATAATTTTTCAACATTGATTCTTAGGCGGCGTCAAATGTAAGACACGCTCTAATTTCAGAAATTATAAAATGTGAAGAAGAAAAAAATTGTCTTAAAATCGAGGAAATACAGTAATTTTCTTTGTGTGTGTGTGTGCGCGTGTGTGTGTGCATGCACCTTTCCAAATAATAATTCATCCCTATGCAAAATCACAGAGGATGTATTTGAAAAGTTTAGGGACTTCAAAAGAATTTACCCGTTTCCACTATTATCCTCCCACTGTATCATTTTTTCAAACTTTCATATAGCTGCTTTCAAGAGATTTCTCCACAAAAAACCCGTATAAATTTCATTGATTTATAACCATGGAAGTATTCCAAGACTATACTTTAGTTTGATTACTACTGCCACAAAGGAATTTCTAAACTGTGTCACATAATTGAAGTTTTCATTTATGTTAATCCTTGTTGAATGATCTAATGATGATGTAATGTTTTGTCTTCAGGCATGTGTTACTGCCTCTGTGTCAGGTATTAACTAAGTCTTCAATAGAAAGCAAGAAGAAGGACAGGGTATCTTCATACAGGTTCACTCAGCTCTTCAAACTACAGAAGGAACTGTTAAGTAACATGGGAGACTTGGTCGTGCACCTGAACTTACAAGAGCGTGAAATTGAACAAGTATTGACAGCAGCAGCACCATATCTTAGTAGCCTACAGCCACTTCCACTTCAGGTTCATCCACATTTGTACATTAAAAGTTTTAAGCTATACTTGCAATTGTCACAAATAATTGGAAACATAACTTGTTTGAAGTGAACAGCACCAAACAGTGGTAATTGGAGGTGCTCCAATTTGGAATGTGCATATTTTTTAAATACTTCTTTTGAGATTTTGCATACCACTTTCATACACATGTTTAATCTAATGTTGCAAAGCTAATCACACTACATAAAATCTGAAATTAGTCTCCCTTGTATTTGTTAAAAAGAGCCAGGATAGCTCAGTATAGTGACTTGCTACGGGCTGGACAACTGGGGTTCTATCCTCGATGGGGGCAAAGGATTTTTCCTCTACCCTCTGTATCCAGACCAGCTCAGGGGCCCACCCAGCCTCCTATCCAATGGGTACCAGGGCCCTTTCCCAGGGGTAAAGCATGGTTGGGGCATGATGCTGACCACTCACCTCCATCTAGTGCTGAGGTCAAGAATGAGTAGGAGCTATACCATCTCTCCCCCCAAGTGCCTACATGGCGTACAGGAGGACAGCTTTATTTTACTTTTTAACTTGTTAAAAGTATTCACTATATTGAAATATGTTTTAAATAGGCATTGTAATTCTTAATGAGGTTAATATTTTTGTGTTGTTTATCATTTCGTAAAACCTTGAGCCACACTAGATAAATTTTATGAAGTTTATGAGCCAAAATGAAATTGCTTGACAGCTTTCAGTATGGTCTTCCCAAATGAGTAGTAGTGGTAATACATATCATAAGTGAAGATAAAGTTACCCCTGTGTCTAAGCACCACAATATTAAGACCTATAGGGGAATGGATGTTGACTTGTAGGATTTGAGGTTTTCATAGTGGTGCGTCTGAAAATGGTTGTCTTCTGGGTTGTTTCGCCATGTAGTCTGGTGGTAGAAGTTTACTGATGTTTCAGAGGTCTTTGCTGCCTCCATCATCAAGGCAATAAGTGATGATGGAGGCAGCAAGGACCTCTGAAACATTGGTAAACTTCTACAAGACTACGTGGTGCAACAACCCAGAAGACTAGATGCAAATGAGTGGTTGGTCACCTTCATAATCTGGTTGCTTTTTATCCCCAGAACTGATTCATATGAAGCCAGTTCAAGCTTAGTGGCAAATAAATGGCCCCTTCCTTGGCTGGGCATTAAAACCCATTTGTCTATATCACAGCCAGTTATTTTTGCTGAGTGAACTATTCTGGGTTTCTCTACAGTATACAATCATAAATTGTTTGCAAGGCTAATAGACTGCTGAGGTATTATAATGCATAGAGGCATTCTAATTAAATATGCTTGTTTCAGAAAATATTTAGAATTAAATTTATATCCTTTACTTATTACAGATGAGTCATTCTGAATGATTTTACAATTCAATTTGAGCTTTAAATAAAATAGTCAGTCAATGAAAATATGTTCTTGCCAGAATGTGTTACATCAATGTTTTATAATGTAACTTTATGCTTAGTGCTTACCAGTCTTTTGCACTGTTCACTGTGCAAGCTGCCATAGAATTCATTTGTTAAATCATCTAACACTTTGTGTAAATTGTGTACTATAGTTTCTGTACGTATAATAAATTAACATCAGTACCAGTGAAATATGTAAATAGTGTATTTTTAAAATATGTGCTCCAAATTACATTACACCTTTTGTACATTCATTCGTGTTTACCTACAATGAACAGTGCCTCAGAAGTTAGGCAAAAGAGCCAACATATGTCTGGACATGATGAAATGCTTTACTTTGATTACAATACTGTAATTGTATCCGGGGTGTTCACACATTCTTGCTGACAACATGTTACTCTGCCCTGTTTTCAGGAGTCCTGTGTGAACCTGTTCTACAAACTGTCAGGTGTAAATCAAGGTGCAGTTTGGCTGAAACTACTCTGTATGTGGAGTCCCATCCAGCAATTAAATCTACCTGCTGATGGTTTGCAGACAGTCAAGGTAATCATGATAATGATTATATGAGAGTAAAGGTAAAGATGAAGTTGCCCAAGCCTAAACACCAATCCATGAAGACCTGTCAGTATTCGATTCCCATGTCAACAGAACATATTCTCAATTTTTAATGAATGCTCAATAAGTTGTTGATAGACCCAATAATCAATTGTATGTAAAAAGCATGAGTTTTGATGTTGTTAAATAAATGGATTAAAGTTCACTGATGAAGTTATTCTGAGAAGCTGGAAAGATTTTTACTAGTTAATGAAAACTGAGATAAAATGGAAATTAAGAATATCCAAAAATTAGAAATTTGTTTTGTTTTCTGAAAAGAGGTAGCATGCTGCCTCCATCTCTTACATCATGGCATAGGCATCATCATTATTTCTTGAACGTGGGAAACTGGCCTGTTCTGTGTAATAAATAGTATTGAATGCTATAAACATTCTGGACTGGATGCATGTTTGGGAAGTCTATATATCCACTTGTCAGCATATACGAATACAAATCAGTAAAATTTGGTACAGTAGTTGTCAGGTAGATTTAATTTGGGTTCATTTACTCTACTATAGTCCCTACTTTATATATGGTGCTCAAATCAAAATTTTCTTTTTAAAAAACAAGTTTATCTTACCAAAAAGATTGGTGTATGACAAACAGAAATCTCATTAAATTCTGTAACTTTTATTTGATTAGTTTTGCCATAGTTGCATCTGCAGTAGATGAACAAGACCAATGAAATATATAATTGGAAAGTATGCGGAGAACACCTTATTGCTCTTTATTTTACAAAGAATCTTCCTACAGATTTTTTGTATACCAAGTAGTTGGAACCATGGCACACCCAGTCAGTACATAGTCACATGCTCTTTATTGTTCTAGGTCACAGAAAGAAACGTCGATCATCAGGAATTCAAGAAAAATGTTGAAGAAATTCTGCACTTTCTGGATATTAGATCTTAGAGTGATAGTTATTTTTACATAGACTGTTCAGTAGAAACAGCTTCAATGAATATTCAGAAAGAGCTCATGGAGTAATGTCTGTTTTTTCATTGCAACCAAGTGCAAGTATCTTCATATATACTGTCACCATATTTTAAGTTCTTAAACATAATTTGTTGTGATGCAGTTGCTAATAAATTTCAGAATGTGTGTACTTATCATTCTCTCATTCAGTGTTACATAATCTGAGCTACTGAAAGCATTGTTAAATAAACAGTAAATAAAATAACAAATAAGAAAGGGTGATAGCTATCCATATTTAATATGTCTTTTTAGAACTTATCAAATTTTATATTGAGATATCACTGTACACTGAGAAGTGCCATTTAAGAAGTCCATAAATAATTGTGTGATGGAACACATTAATTCACTTAATAAATGCTTCTGCTGGTATTTACCCACCCCCCCCACACACACACTCAGTTCACTGATGGCATGCATGGCTAGCTGAATATCCCACTTGGCTTCATTGTTTCTTAGTTACGGGCGTTTTGGTAGTGCATTACACCGACCCTCCTGCGCTTTCGGAATGGCGTGTGCATCAAATTTTGCCAAAGACTCGCCAAAACGGCTACGGAAACCTATGAAATGCTAAAGCAAGCATTTGGGGAGTCCGCAATGGGTCGTGCACCAACTTTTGTGTGGCATTCACGTTTTAAAAATGGCCGAACCTCTGTCGATGATGACGAGCGTTCTGGACGACCATCTTCGAGCACAACGCCCGAAAATGTTACGAAGATCGACGTCGTACCATCAACGACTTGTGCGACCTTGTTGGGATAGGCTATGGGACCTGTCAGCTGATTCTAAAGGAATAACTCCACATGCGACGCATCATGACAACGCACCAGCGCACACCGCCTTCAAAGTTCGGCAGTTTTTGGCCTCAGACACCATGGCCGTCATCCCACACCATCCTTATTCGTCGTGTGACTTCTTCCTCTTCCCAAAGATGAAAATTCAGCTAAAGAGAAGGAGATTTTAGACGATAGAAGAGATTCAGGCAGAATCGCAGATGGTGCTTGACAGGCTGACAAAGAAAGATTTCCAGGGATGCTTCCAGGCTTGGCAGCGGCGCTGGGATCGTTGTGTTCACTCCCAGGGGAACTACTTCGAGGGTGATGGATGAATTTAATACCTGAGATAAGTGTACGGGTTTTTATAGGGGCAGTCTAGAAACTTTCCGATCGCACCTCGTATTCCTGTCCAGTGCATATTCATCCCAGACTGGGCAGAAAAACTTTCCACCATCTGCTCTTTTAGACTGTCATCAATAAATGCAGCTAGCATTTTCATTGCCACCTTACTGTGGTCATCTGTTGCATTTGTCACAAAGAGTACCTCATTCATTATGCAATGACCTTTACCATAAAGCACAATGACCAGCTCTGTGTTGAATGACCTAAGAAGTTGGTTTCTGTGGGTCCTGGTTCCCAAAATAAGCGATACAATAACATCGTGATCAACTAAGGTGTGGAAACTTTGAGCTTAACGACAAATGAATGACAAAGATGCTGTGTTTTTGCCAGCGTGGAAGACAGGAAATAATATCCATTTTTTCTCCACACAATACCTTTTATCTTCTGCTGTCATCTTTCACACACACAAGATTCTGGCTGTCCGTAATGTATTTCAGAAGTGGTAGTGGTATTCTGATCCAGTGGATATGTTGATGTAAGAAAAAACATGGAATTATCAAGGTAAACACTGGCCAATTGTTTCCTGTTATTCTGTTCATAGAGTCGGTAGTGCTCCTCCAGTAAGCGACAGACAAAACTTAATCCTTCTTCTGAATATGACTTGTTGTTGTTCTTAGTTATCACATCAGGCAGGATGAGTGGAGATGGATCAAATCTGTCCAGCTTCAAAAATTTTTGGAACCTCTTCCTCAAATTAGAATCTTGATATTTGCATCCAGCACGTTCTTCTAGATGAAGGCCCTCTAAACAGTCCAAGTGATGCATGTCTGGCATCCTGTTTATTTTGATGTGAAGGGCTTTGAGGTTAGGAAGTTTAATTGAAAGTACACTGAGGTTGTCAAGTGAGTACAGTTTGTTGTCAGACAAATCAAGTGCTTCCAAATCAAGAGCATTCTCCACAGTGATATCCAACACTGCCAACATGATATTGGGTCTGAGCAATGCTACAGCATAATTGTCAGTGAGATATGGATCTGTGTGGAACCAAGACAAATTATGGGCTTTTATGCTAACATCATAACACTTAGTTATTATAGCCTTTATTTTCTCCTATGCAGTTGAATCTGTCACCACATGTGGTAATCTGGGTTTCAGTTTTACCATCAGTTTAAATCCTTCTTTAATTGTGGTATGTGTTTTGTCAACATTGGCCAATTTTTCTGCAACAGTATACTCATCAACAAAAAATGAAGAATTTGTTCCTTGAACTTAGTAACTGATTGAAATTAATACTGTTGGTGCAACACTGGCCATCAATGTCTTCAAGATACAGTCTTCACTATATCTGCCATCATGAGGACTTGTTACCTCAAACCACATTGCTGTTACCTAGACAATTCTAATGGCTGACTTGTGATGGTACAGGGGGGATGCCACGATCTTGTCTCCTTCTGTCACCTGAACCCATGCTTCCATATCTACTGCCTCTACCACCAGAACTTCCTGACTACTGAGTCTCCGAACATATGGGATAAGTCGCCCAGAATGTCTTCTACTTGAGCCTGGTGTGCTGACATCAACATCTTCGTTACCAATTAAGACATGGAGAACCAGATCCAAGTCTCAATTTGTAGATTTCCCATTGCAGTTACTTATAGAACCAAAAGATGTTCTTTGCACAAGCTCATCTTATCCAGAAACACAGTAGTGTTTTGCTTTTAACCCTGCCAATCCTTCAGTTCCATCACACCCTGAACTCAGATTTTTCTAGGTTCTAGACAACATGATTTTCATAGATAATATATACAAGATGTAATTCTGAAGTCTGGCACAAATGTAAGGACATGTTCTGCACCCACAAAGCAATGAGAAATGTTCATATTTCCACTTTCTAAATTTTGTTTTATTAGTGGTGCCCAATGACAATGGTAGGAAGACTGATGCTAAACATTGCTTATACAGTATAGGTGTGTCAATGTTGAAATTCATATCAGTTTATTCATTCAAATGAATGGAATTCATACACCTATATTATCGGTGTACAAATAAAAGCAGCATGGAATCCACATGCCTCCACAAGCAAAATTTTCTGCTACAACTTCCAAACAGGCATTTTGAACACCTCCTATGAAACTTGTGCTCTGAACATGGGGAAGCAATGAAAGAATAACACTGTACTGAAAATTCCAGAAGAAGAAGAAAGAAAACAGGGCCATAATTTGGAAGGAATATTTTTCTGGACTATTCATATAATTCACTCTTACATTTGTGCCAGACCTCATAAGTTGCACTCTGTATGGTTGTAAATGTGTTACAAGGCTGTCCGTAAGTAAACTGTGACCTCACTTTCATTACCTTCTTATAGAAGAAATATAAATAAAATACAAAATGTGAGAAAACAAATTACAAATTTTCTTCAAATAAGTGGTGCCAATGGATGCAAGACTACAAGCTCTATTGTTAATTACGATTGCATGATACTAGAACTCAAGACACTTGTTAATTACTGTAACTAAGCAAATCTCAAGATAACACGATATCAAGACTAGGAATACTGGAGTTCACAGGACGTTTGAAACCGCAAAAAGGCATGCAATTTTGGCACAGCAAGGTTAGGTTTGGTCAGGTTATGCTTAGGTGTTCAGGTTTTTGATTTAGGCTTAGACTGATGGTTGGGTTCTCAAACCGAATTTAACCAACTCCTGTGCTCTCTGATTTCCAATTTTTGGTAGCACTTTTACATTTGTTAAGGCCATTCTAAGTTGGAATATTTACAACTTTAAATGGTTCCGAAACTGGTTCACAGGGTTTTCCGCGCCCCATTTCTTAATTGCTTCATCATTTATAGCATATAAAAACCTATACGCGGTTATTTTTGATGTGTTCCGTAAATGCGTAATCTGTCACGTCTTAGAATGAGGATACACCCAGACAAAATACTCCGAGAATATTTGACGGCTGTGCCGCTGGGACTAAGAGAGGCGGCAACCAACGCAGTAAAAACGCATATCGGATAGGTTGTGCTGTGCCGCCACATATCCTCACTGTACTATATAGCAAAAAGTTCATTTAACAATGTATTCATATGCTGCACTGTAAGAGTTTCATAATAAAACAATTTATTGTATAAAATCTTATCAATGTACGTAAATTAAGACTATCAAAATGACCGTGGCATGCAGGTTGTAAATTCTTATGAGTAGTCTACTTGCGTTTTAAATGTGGATGTCAATGCTGTCATCTGGAAGTTCACACTACACGAAGAAAAGAGCACGTTTAAGACACACACAAACTTCAAACTTCTTTTTGCACTATCACAACACTTCAGAACCCCTTAAAATATTCACTGCTATTGGCATATATTTCCCACGATGCTATGCACTTCAAACGCGCCATACACTTGTCGATTAGCTTTAGTTCAGACTTACTATAACATATTTCCAGGCGTAAAAAGTACGAATCTTCTTTTTCCTGGTGCTACAGCCGGATTAGTTCTTTGATGTTTGTCTAAATCCTGATCCAAGCAAGTGATGAACTCCTGAGCAATGCAGATGAGCTAAAGACCTCTTCCTTCACAGAACTCCAGAAAATGCGGACAGACATATATGCTATGAGAGATATTTTAAACGGTAAATACATTATCCGAGACTTAAAGATCCACGCGGCCATCAGAATCAGCGTGTATGATGTTATTACCAGTGACAGCGAGGCTCCTAAGACAAAATACATGTAAAGTATTTTAAGTGATAATTTTAACGCTTTGAAATCTGATTTACCCGATTCTTGCGAACTGAGAAGTAAGTCACTGTTGATGGAAATAAATACAGAACAGCACATAATCACTCTACCGTCAAAAACAGCATTTTATGAAAAACATTAAAATATTATCATTTATTAACCACAGGCTTTTATCCAAAATTCAAGTTCTTCATTGTTGTTGGTCTAGATAAAAGTACATGTACATGGTGAACTATGGCAATAATACAAGGAGAAAAGGCAATTCTGATATACAGGTGAGGCATGCCCATCCATTTCGCCACCACTAAAATTAGGTAATGATTTTACACCCCCCCCCCAAGTCACCTCCTTCTTAAGCAGTTCTTCA